ATGGGAATGTACCCAGTCGCCAAGGGAATCACATGAATAAATTGACATGAGATACAATACAGAGTGCGTTCTCCTCATCGGCCGAAATCAAGGCTAAACCAGATCGGAAACAAAGTGAGGATGGAAACAAATTAATAATCGCTTTCCTACCATTTTTAATGTTATATTATTTAGTGTCGTTAGCTAACGGCTATATTTTTGGTAATCAACTAGCCGCAGGTATCTTAAACCTCTTTGTCATTAACGTGTAAAATTTCCGCAGAAAGAGGATGATTAATGTTGTATTAAAATTTCCTAAATCACACATCTCTACTAACCAATAGTAAAAGGCCAAGTTTAATGGCAAATACAGGAAGGTCCATCGACACAACAATATACATCATAGATGAATTGAGAAAAGTCTAGTTTACCCTTATTTTTATACTTGTCTGGTAACCAAAATTAGAATTTTGTTTAATCCTGAAGCCTCACATTTCGAGTTACAATGAGGGTATGAGCTATGAGATCATGCCTGAATGAAAACGATATTCTGGGACGCATGGATCAATGAAATTCAGTACAAACCGAGTATTCTCTTTCGTTTAATTAGGTAGAATAGCTGAAATTTCCTATAACATCATGCGAAGCTGTTGCGTGTTGGCAATGCTAAAGGCTATAGCCGGAAAGGGACTCGAATCAGCTAAGATGAGATAATTTTGAAATGCTTTTACCTTCTGGGTCTTATAGGAGACGATAGTAGACAGATGCTAATTAATAAAAGTTCTATTCCAAGATTCTCACATGACAACAAATACTAGTCTTGGTAGGGGAGATAGAGACTTCCGGTTCCTTTTTCTCCATGTTCCATTAGTTCCTAGTTTGTCGCCGCAGGGCTAGTCTCCTTTCAGAGGTTGGGGCGTTACAGTTCGGGCTTCTTAATTCCCGGCGAGTGAATTCACTTGGGCTCATGGGAAGTAAGAAGTTTTAACATTTGATGGAGTGTCTAAAGGCTATTTGAAACATGGTCTGCCAGAGTTTGCCAGCTGGGTTAGGTCCGCAACGGATTGAAATGAGAGGGAAATTGAGGTATTCAGGAAGTGTAATAAAAATTCATTTCGTAATCTTAGATATTTTCGTGAATCTACTCAATTATACGAAATCAATAGCCATATAGTTTGCCTAAACTAAATGAGAAATAGAAAAGCATAGCCAAGCATTTAGCAAAAACTTTCCTATCGACTATAGAGCAAAGTAAGAAAATAGAAGAAGCAATCAAAGAGTCAAATTTTAATAATATCAGGGCATCATGATTTATTAAACTAATAGCCTTTAAATCCCTCATATTTAACTCTAATCGAAATATCATCTGTAATTTTCGGATTTTTTATTGCAACTTGGGTGCAGATTTCAGGTGATATCGCTTCAGCACAATTCATTTCCCTCCATCCATAATGAATTGAAGAGGAGGTTTGAATTTGCCAACCTAAATTTCAATTTTGCATGCATCCTCAAAAGATGTTTTCATCCAAGTTGGAGGGCAGTTTTGACTCTGCCTCAGAGGCTAATGCATTGTCGTCCCAGCAACACGACAATAATGATGTAGAGTTTCATGGTAGGATTGAGTTTAGAGGCGATGCGGGCCTCTCTCAGCGCTCACAAATGGTGGTGAAATTAGGGTCGACAGACAAACATGCGGTTTCCGCTACCCTCGATACCTAGGTGGGGCACTGCTACATAGGATTGGAGTGGCAAATATCGAATATCGGAATAGTTATTAGTTCTAACTACAACGAATTTTGGCATAATTTAAGTGAACAAGCAGCTGTCCAGAAGCTTGTTCAGACAGTAATTCCCCACGACTCAGTTGAAATACTTCCTCTCACCCACTTTCTTACTCCATCCCTGGTATTTCACTGTCGCTTTCAGATCACATTCCGACTTGCTAATAAATCCCTGATACTTGTATGCTTCGAAAGATCTGTCCCAAATTGATGGTCGACGTATCCAGTAATTCATTGGTTGTGAACTCTGACTGGCAATATGCTTACTCTACAAACTGGATTCCTAATGAAATTCGCTCCAGAAATTGCAACACAGTTTTTATACAAAGACAAATAGGAAAAAAGCAAAGGCACTGATATACTTAAGGGAAAAATCGAAACTTCA